CGAAAGTTGCAGGGGCTCGGGTGTCAGCGACATCAGTTGGGGCGATAGTAGAGGCACGTCGGACGGTAGAATTTGGAGCTATTTTGTCAGGGGTGGCAATGATGCTAACTGGGGTAATAATTGCAGGGGCGATTTTGGCAGATGCATCACCGGTGGCGATAAAAGCGGGTTTACAGGTGGCGGTAGCAAGGGCAAAGGCATCAGTGTCTGTAGCATAAACAGAGGCGGCAATAGCAGAAGGATTTTTGTTTGGGGCAGTGCTGGCAGAATCAGTGGCAAAAGCTGCAGTGGCAGAGGCAAGGGCGGTAAAAGCTGGGTTTGTTGCAAAGGCGGCAATAGTAGAAGTAAGGGCACGGGTGGTAGGGTCAGTTGCAAGGGCGACGATTGTAGTGGCAAGGGCATGGGTAGCTGGGGAATTCGCGAGGGCGTCGATGGCAGAGGCGGTCGCAGGGGCGATGGTCGCTAGGTCAATTGCAGGGTTGATGGTCGCTTGGTTATTGGCAGGATTGATGGTCGCAGGGTCAGTTGCGGTGGCGTTGGTCATTAGGTCAATTGTAGAGGCTTTGGTTGCTGGATCAAATGCCGGGGCGGCGATGGCAGGGTCTTGGGCGTAGGCGACGGTGGCAGGGTCAGGGGCTTTGGCGACGAAGGCAGGGTCAATTGCACGGGCAGGGGTCGCTTGACCAATAGCAAAAGCATTGGCGGCAGAGGCAGAGTCATGGGCAGGCGACGTATTTGCAGTGACGGCGGGCGAAGTGGCGGCGGTGGCGGCAGGTGTAGTGGCGACAGCGGCAGGCGTAGGGGTGACGGTGGCAGGATCAGAGACGTAGGCGACAATGGCTATGTCATGGGCTTTGGCGGCGGTTGCAGGGTCAGGGGCATGGACGACGATGGCAGGGTCAATTGCAGGGGCACGGGTCGCTAGTTCAGTTGCGGAGGCATCGGTCTCTTGGTCATTTTCAGAGACGTTGGTGGGACAAGCAGAGGTGTGGGCAGGCGACGTGTTAGCAGCGGCGGTAGACATAGTGGCTGTGGCGGCGGACATATTGGCAACGGCGGCAAGCAGGGCAGGTGCTGTTTCAGCTGGCATTATTTTGTCTCTTGTTTTGGCAACGTATGCTCTGGCATCTTCTAGAAGGCAGTCCGTCGAGGTCGAATAATCAGGTTCCGGAAATGGGGCATTTTGTAGTTCCTTGGCATTGAATAGGAGGGCCATTTTCTTCGCAAGGGTGTTCATTTGTGGGAGGTTTCCTGTTTTGTTGTAGGCAGAAATGAGGTAGCTAATCTCATTGTTAAGTTCTACAAGAGGATTTAAGGCTGTGTCGTGCTTGTGTACATCAAGCATTTGGCTTCCTGGGCAAGTGTCTTTTTGTGGCGGTTTTCCTAGGTTGGCAGGCATGTTGGTGAAATTTCACTTAAAATTTTGTGATCACTT